TGATCAAGAATCAGAATCAGACCACTCATGTCTATCAATTCCAGCTCTGATCATACTGCTGAGAAGAAACCAGTAGGATCTATGATCATTTGTAATTGTGGTCTAATGATAAACTAACCTGAAGTTGGTGGAGTATAATTAGGAAAATTTCTTTCATTCTAAGAATGAACATTCTAAGCCGAATGTTAACTTTTTTCTGTGAAATTTTTCATTGTTTACATGATCAGATATTTTCTTCTGTGTGGAAGGTTTTGGAAACTGGCAATAAATTTTAACGTTTCTTTTAAAAATAATATACCACTAAAAGTTCTTGGAGGGAAATGTGAAAATATTAATTTTATGGAAGTTTTCTATTCAAACATGTATATCACTAGGCTAAGTACTTTATTGACACTGACTCCAATCCCATGAAGGAGGTGGAATTAGCTTCATATTTGCAGTTATAAAAACCCTAGTTTCAGGTGCTGACTTCCAAAGATCCCACAAGTTGCTACATATTTATGCTTGATTTTGAAAGCAAGGATACCTGATAGCCAAGCTCAGCATGCTCTCCCGCAGCACCACTGACCTATAATTGGTATGATTAGATTATCTGCCTCATGTTAAAACTTTTTCTGGAAAAAAAATCTTTAATTCAATTCTCTTGATTTGAGATATGTATGTAGAAGAAACTGAGCAGGGGAGAGCCTGGAAACTTAATTCAATCCCTTAAGATAAACTGTAGTGTTTTGTTTTTCTATCTTTGTGCAACACCACAAGCATAGGCTGTCTTAGGAGATAAGGAATGACTCACAATAAACAATAAAAACTAATTAGAGTAAGTTTGCTTGTCCATGTAATTCAGTATAGTCTTCTATAGGAATGGGGAGTCCGGCTACATTTGGGCTACGATTATTATAAGACAATTTTTGGAGTGGTGATGAGACTATAAACAAGGTTCTTGAAGACACTGACTTTGACAGCACATTACTTCTGTCTTACTAAGCATGTCTTCAAGAATGTTAATCTGGTTGTTTGAATATACAACTCATTAATTGCCTGATGATTTATTTGTAAACTTGTGGGAAGTGATGAACCAAAATGCTCTTCAACCTGGAGCTTACATATGTTTGGAGACTTCTTTAGTTCTGAATTTACAGAATTTTACAAAGGATCCTTTTCAGTGACAGCCCTAAATGTAAGTTGTCTTGGATTCATAGTGAATCTGTGCCCACTGCAAAGAAGACAATGATTTAATATTTTATAGCTAAGGAAATTATAAAATGTCTCAATGTTAGCCATCAAAATTAAAAGTTTGCATGAAAGTGTCACTGTTTTCTTACCTGATTATAATTTCCTATTGAGATAAGTGTGATGCAATTGCTATCTGGAAAAATACTTAAAAAAACAAAACAAACAAACAAACAAACAACTGGAATCCCTAAATGCCCAAGTCCTCCACATCATTGCTAAATCAGCTCTTCAGTGAATCTAGCTGTCACTGATTTGATGGGGCTAAGATTTGTAACAGTCAAGGACTAAATAACAACATGATGTCACCGTAGCCAGGGACAGAAGTAAAAGCAAAATAATAAAATGCTTTTTTTCATGGTAGGATCCATGGTCTTAAGGATACAAATAATCTAGGGTTACTATTTCTCAAAGAGGGCAGTCAGTGAGAAAAAGAAATGTTTAAAGATAAATCAGATTTTTTAAAAACAAGTCGTCACATTACAGGGAGCTTTGAGCTCCTTAAAATGGCCGAATGCAGCTAGTAAGTCACAAGTGTTATTTTTTTCCCTCTCGTGCTGCTAAAAAGATGAGTCGGGTTTACCTCAGCAGTGGCTGGCTTGAAGTGCCATGGGGAGATGGTGACTTAGGTATGGCATAGATCTTTCTAAAATGTATGTATGTAGACATTAAACCATGAATGTTTTTGTTCTTGCAATGTGATATTTGCAAAGCAGAGCAGGCTCTTACCCTGTAATAATAAGCCAGATGTCTGGGAACTAGTGCTGTTTCTAAATATAGATAGTTACCCCTGCATAGCTCCACAGACCATAGCAATAATATGTATTTGATTAGCATGATGAAAGTTATATTTTATAAAAAAGAATTTCATACTGATAATTTATCTGGATAAGTGAAGCTGAACATTTTTCAAGTAAGGATTTTTTTCCCTTTATCCCAGATACTCAAAGAATAAAATTTGAAAGATTATAAAAGATATATATTAAGATATTTATATCTTGTTTGATCTTGGAAAAGCATATAAAGCTAATATAAATCATGTCCATATGGAAAATTACAATATTTAACATTGAATATATTGAACAGATACTTGTAGTTGCTACATTTCTGATACTGACAGGGAAAAGCAAGCAGGGAAGAAGATATTTTTGAAACAGAAATTAGAACATGATCGAATATTCCATGATTTTCGGTTTGCCAAGATTAATTATGGAAATTCTCATAACAAATTAGAGGAAGCAAATAATGTGAGCTTGCTTGGTAATTAGTCAAGTAGTCTATTTATAAATAATTTAATAGATTGATTCATTTGTTAGTTGATTGATTAATTGGTAAAGAAAAAGTGTAATGCAGTTACTTATTTTGGTCAAGACTGGACCAGTTGTTCTGAACATCAGTACAGTCATTAAGATAAATACATCATTAGAATGCAGAAGACAGCTTGCTGGAAGGGCTGCGGGGGAGCACTCTGCTGCAAGCCTTGTTAGCTTTGTTGATTCCCAATGATAGAAAGGACTGGGCCTAAATAAAATTCAAATTTTGTTTTTCTAGGCCTTTGTCAATCTTAACATCTAGTTGTCTTAGCTAGTGACAGTTGGAAAATGGGTACTCATAATAAAGTAGAATCATATTATTTGGTGTCTGTCTTTATAATAAATAAAAAAATACTGAACTTTATTATATCAGTAAATAGTAACTAAAAATTTGACATTGTAAATATTATAAATGATTAGATTCAATCATATCTAAGCATTATTTGAAACTCAGAGATTTTCTACATCTTTGTTGATGAAATTGAGTGTAATTGTTATCAATCTGAAATCTATTTTGAAAGGAGACATAATTTTCATATTTTCTTGCTTGAGTATTCACAGTAAGAAATGATCTATGTTTTGAAGTCCTCAAGCATTTCATTTTGAACTAAGTATTTTTAGTGACAAAATAAACAAACATGGATGATCTGTGAGGCATCACATTCCATTTTAGAATCTCAGTCATAGCACATATATGGAGGTCAGAAGACAATTAATGGGAGTTGGCTCTCTCCTTCAACCATCTGGGTTCCAGGAATCCAATAGCTACCCAGCACTCTTACCCACTGGAGACACCTCACCAGCCATGAAATTATTTTTCTTTCTTTTTGTGAATGGTGTGTTGCCTGAGTGTATGTCAGTTTGCATATATGCTAATTTGCACACAGGTAAAGTTTTCAGACTAATGTAAAGTGCTTAAAATAGTGTCACACACATAGTGTATCTCTTTAACATTAACCATTACCACCATGACTTACAAGCAAACAGTAAAGAGACAATACACTCCTGCCCCCTCTACCTTTATATTTCTATTTTCAATAAAATACAATTATGCCATTAGATAGAAAAGTACTGTTGAGTGGAAAATGATCTCAACCTTCTGTGTCAGACTCCTGTGCTTATTTTCCTTGTCACATGTATTTAGATGTTATTCAGTGGAATTGTTTCAGTATCATTTACAGGGTACTGGTCAAGATTATTTTACTGACAGATAGGTAGAGCAAGTGGGCTTTTGAATTCCCTAAAAGATGGAAATAATGAAATTACTTCTAAAGTACAGAATGCTTCTGTACTTACATCACAAATAATTTCATAATATAAACAAATTTTAGATAGGAATTTCATAAAAGTTGCATTGTTAATTAATATTCAAGTGACTTCATATGAAGTTATGTAGTAAAATTTTAAAATTTTTACTTATCCTAGCCTATGGAGTTAATAGAAGAGAGGTAGACAGGAAGATAAATATTAGCATCCATAATCATACTATTTTAAGAATATTTTATCTTTAGTCAGTGTTGCTTTTACTTTTTTTAATTTTATTGAAATAGCTGTTTTCTGGCACACCTAATCTGATTATTTAATTACTTTAAAACCTATAATATTACCATTAATACCCAGTAAAGTAAAACAATAGAGACAGGACCAGGGCTCTTTTAAATGCAGGAAAATTAGCCTAGCATACTTTTACTGCTGGAGTGATCACAGGGAAAGAGAGATAGGAACAGTTGATGTGTCTCTTGGAAGAGGAAGAGAGGAAAGCTCATGCTAGGAGTCCCCTTTTCGTAATGGGTGGGGTATAAGAGACAACCTGAGAAGAGGAAACTGAGAGATGTGACATCTAGGTTGGGAACTAAGTGCCCTGGCCTATCCACACCTAATACTTGTAGAATGAGTGATCTACCAGTGAGCCTTTGACAACATTAGCACCATTTCCAAAATCGTTAACCCTGTATCCTCTTTGAGAACCCCTTTCTGGGACCTACCTAGTCTATGCCATGATTCAGACTCAGGGCTCAGCTACTTGACCTTCTTAGTAACATGTTGTAGCTAGCACACATCAGGATAGGGACAATCTGAGGTCTGGTGCTAGGAAATAGGGCAAGCTTGGAGTATGAAGGCATGAGTATGGCTCCCAGCACTCCTAAAAATACGGTAAACACATGCATTTCTGCTTACATATGGGAAAGCATGAAGTCCAAACTTTGGGCCTTTTGTGTGAACCATCTTCTTTGGTTGACAGCTCAGCAGATACTATAAGTCTGATGCTGTAAGTCAATTCTGGAGCCCTCTGTATTCAGAGTCACTAGCAGGATACTTCAGATAAGGATCAAGTTTCCTAAAATATAGGACCAATAATTGGGACACCTTGTTGAATGCTGGGTGTGAATAATTTCTATTGAACTTAATAGAGTTTATTTTGACCCACACCGACTTCTTGTCATTCTTTTGTGACAGGCTCCTGGGCAGATCGATCACCACTGCATGAAGCTGCAAGTCAAGGTCGTCTTCTTGCTCTGAGGACATTATTATCACAAGTAAACCATTACATTATACTTCAAAATAGGCCCCCTTCCCATGAGCATAAAACACTATAAAAAGAAAATCCATTTGAAAGTAATAAACTCTCAAGTGTTTCTACTGCTCTGTCTTTATAACTTGTATCATCAAGACAATAGTTTGTTTTACATTTGAAATTCTTTCTTGACTGTTTTGTTACAATGTTATGTCTTCCTAGTCAAAGAAATTAGCTATGTATTTAAGTATTATTTATCAAGCATTCTAAATATGCTTATTTTGTGTAGTATATTATAAATTTAGTTCAATCATATGTCCCCAAAGCAGTAACCAGACCAGATGTGAAAACAGCATATTTTACATTGTGGTAATTTATGAAATATTATGGTGAACTGCCTGTGAAGTTATTAGAATGCTCACTTCTACACCTGCCTACTCCATCTGAGTGAGCAGAGGGAGAAAGAAAACCACAGATTCCTTCTGCAAACAGAAAATAGCCAAGTTTGAATCAGTGAATTACATATTGTCCGCTAGCTTCCAGTCTGACTGTAATGTACACTTGGTGTGGGGACATCAGTGGTTCCCAGAATCACAGAGAAAGGAATTTCTATGATGGTTATGAGAAAGGGAGGTTCCTACCAACATAGATTGAACAACACCTGACACTTGACACAGTCACAGCCTATCCAAGTTTCATTTTCTCACCTGTAACATGAAGATGTGTCCAAGGTGTTCCCTTGGAGTCTCCAGTCCTGTGACAGCCATGTGACTGTTCTGCTCATCACTTCATGGTGGTGGTGGGGGGAGGACCTGTGTAAAAAGGTCAGTGGTTTCAAAGCATAATCCCTTGGAGAGGGTCCCATAGCGCCTTCAGAGGAAGGCAACACCAGTGTCTCCTCCACACAGACAATGCCAGCCACGATGAGGGAGAAGTTCCCACAGAGCCCTCTCACATGTTTACATCATCCGGTCACATTAGGATGGAGCAGTGTCTCCTCAAAAAGACTGCAGATCTTGGAAAGGATGAGGACAGTGCTCCTTGCTAGCAATAAAGATACAGTGTGATTATCTGTGCCTGTGCCTTCATGTGTTCCCATGTCCCAGTTCATGACACTCTGTACTGTGCTGGGAAGATCCTGACTTGAAACATCATATAAAGTTCTTAGTAAAGTGATCAGTAATAGACAATGAACTACTAATGATCCCAAGAAGTCAAATAATCTTACATCCTAATAATTTTATACAATTTGGGCTGATACTGTAAGCTTAATTGAAGATCAATGTTTATTAGGCTAAAGAATGAAATGACATCTCCATTTCCACCCACTGGGAACTGTAATAATTGCTGAATAACTATTGTTCCATTTAACTCTCATGGCCACCATAAAATTTAGAACTCAAAATATCTATCCAACTTTTCATGATTATTGTGAATCCAGCTTTAAACACAAGTCTAACTTTGAAGACAGTTCTCAATGTATCTATATAATTTACTCTTATTAAATGAATAACTGTTTAGTGGCATATTCATAAGTCAGTTTACTAAAATTGATTTTTTCAGTCTGGATTGATCACTGATTTTATGATCACAGTCAAAACAAGTTATGCAGCTTATAAACTGTCTTTAATTCTATAAAGTAAAAAATAGATAACCAGCATCCCACAAAAGATCTTAAGAAAAAGAACTTTAAAGAAAATGTTCCAGATCTATTAACAAAATACTTAACATTATTAGGTGATGGTGCTACAATATTGGCAGGGTTCATAAACCTCAATCATGTTTGTGAATGGGGCACATTACAGTGATTACATGCTTACAGGCACAGTGTAGTAAAATCTGTTTATAATGTACAGTGACCAAATCAAGGTTTCCATCTCACATATTCTAATTATTCATTAGCACTTAATAATTGTGCATATTTATGATGTTTCAACACATGTATTCACTGTGACTGGGCAAACCAGAATAATTTACTTATATTATTTACTTCTCTCATTACAGAGACTAGTTATCCTACAAGAAGCCACTGAGAAGGGGGGAAGGTTTGCTCAGGCTGTCATGCAGGGGAGGCTGGATGACTGGGGCTCTGGCTGAGTGAGGAGCCAGCTGGTCACACAGTTTGTTATATTTCCACACGAGAAGCAGAGCAAACTGGCCAGAAAGCAGCAGGAATATAACCATAACCTCATCCTGAATGAAAGTGGTCCACTGTGGCCAGTTAGGCCTTTCCTCTTAAAGGCTCCAGGACAGAACCACAAGGAAAAATAAGATGCGGAGTATTGGGTAAGCAGCTAACACAGAAAGACAAATATCACGTGTAAGAATGCTTTGAAATGTTTACTTGAAGACAGAATAGTGATTAGTTGAGCACAGTCAGATAATGTCATAGTAACCTGACATGCATACTGTGCGTAAGTAGACGAGGGGGCTAGGGAGTTTCAACAACTGACCAGCTCAACTACTACACTGGAAACTGACTGACTAGATTCTTCCATCTCTACCTAGTCTCTGTGACATTTACAGAGATAATATTGTATACCTTCCTGTCTCACTATAGGGTTATAATGTAAATGCAGTAACCATAGACCATGTCACCCCACTCCATGAGGCCTGCTTGGGTGATCATGTGGCATGTGCAAGGACTCTTCTGGAAGCTGGAGCTAATGTAAGTTTTAAAAAAAAATTAGGAATTTTACGCCTTCTGACCAAGAGAACCAAAGTTCCTATTTTATTTTTGTTTCCTTCTTTCTTAGTAGTTTTGAAAACATAGCAATATAAACAATGTCCTAGAACTGTCTTGGTCTTCTCAGGACATTCTGCAGGGGGTCCATTCATTGTGTAGAGCAGTGCACTGATGATCTTTAGATTTTCTGTTTTCTTGAATCAAAATAACAACAGATGAGCATCTGTATCTTGTATCTTTGTTTTCTGGACAAGTTTCAAAAATAAATTCTCAGAAATAATAGCTGTGGTGAATGCCTGTATTCTTAGATCTTTGGAGGCAGGGTAATAAGGAGTTATATATAGTAAGCTGGAGACTAGCTCAGGCAACCCCCCCCCCTCTCTCTCTCTCACACACACACACACCATCTAAGAATAGAACCAATATATCACATTTAAATATCCACAAGTAATGTGGCCTCGTTTCCTTCACCATTACCTGTTTCTTTCCGTTTTGATTTATTGTTGAATGTGTAAGCCTTATACTTGAATGTTGGTTTTTCGATGAACTATAGTAGAGTGTCCAGGCCTGTGACTTTTCTCCCACATCGTTGAGTCTACATATCTCTTGAAGATGTCTCTCGTTGACATATATGAAGTAAATACACATTGTCACATTTACGGTGCACATTTCCCAGTTAGCAAATCATGCAACTTTTAGCAATGCATAAACAAGTTTTTTAGTCCTGCATGACATCTCATTCTCAGATTTTGGGTTTTGTTTAGGCAAATGCAATCACGATAGACGGTGTAACTCCCTTGTTCAATGCGTGCTCACAAGGCAGTGCAAGCTGTACAGAACTTCTTCTGGAATATGGTGCCAAAGCCCAATTGGAGTCCTGTTTTCCATCTCCCACACATGAGGCTGTGAGTAAAGGTTAGTTACGGACTGAAGAGGGGGAAATATCCCCGGACAGGTGTGTCCCTACTTGTCTTTCAATAAATTACACTTCTGTGGGAAACGTGTTCAGGAAAAAGTAAAGCTGTCTTTTCTTTGTGTTGGCAGGACACCATGACTGTCTCGACATTTTGATATCCTGGGGCATAGACGTTGACCAAGACATTCCTCACCTGGGAACTCCCCTTTATGTAGCTTGTAATTCACAGCAGCTCCTTTGCATCTGGAAGCTTCTTTATGCTGGTACTTTCCCATTCTATCCATACCCATAGATAATAATTCATTCATCTAACTAAGCTTCTTTTGAAAGTCTTATCTCACTGCGAAAATGTTCTTATTGTAAACATTGTCACTTAAGCATATGCAACCTACCAAAGCTATCTGATTAGAATACTTCAAAGCTCATAGATGAGTATACACTCTCCAAGGGCTGCATCTGAGTTGTCAATACACCATTGGATACATAATTGAGCCTTTCCTTATAAGCAGTCATAAAATTAGGATTCTCCAGACTGAATATAATATTGCTATGTAAACAAATCCATAATAAAACTTAGGGGCTCTGAGTACTTGAATAAACTCATTGCCTTTCAACCATAAAAACCCATGGACTGTCCTAGACTTCATACTCTCTGTCCTGTTTGTTGAAAAGATTTACTGCCTTCTCCACTAAGTTCCTCAAAGCTCAGCTTTTGCTTCATGAGAAACAATCCTAACATGTTCAGAATTTGGTGTTGTCTCCCACATTAGAGCTGGAAACTTCTTGGTGATGATCTGTGCCTCCTCTTATCAATTTTCTTCTCTAGTAGAAAGCCTCTCTGTCATGTGGTGTAGATACTTAGGATATATATATATATATATGTATATATATATATGTATATATATATTTACTTATAGTATATTCAGACATACAATTTTAATAACCCCTTAACATATCACATTATTTTACTTGATCTATGAATATTTTATAAGCAGGACTTACACTATTTTATTTACATTGCATATAGAATCTTAAACATAAATTCTGTTAATATTGATAAATTGTCCTTTCCTGCATAAATTAGCCATACATTTAGTATAACAAAGGTAGTATATGTTTTATCATCCATCGTCATTCTTTGAGAAGTATTTTCACCAAGAACTTTAACATGTGCTAAAAAAAAAAAAAAACATTGAAAAACATTGCTAGCAATGGTTGACTGGTTGCTATTTTCAGGCCCTTCTGCTCTCATAAAGTTGGTAAGCCCAATGAAGTTTTATTATGTCTTTAAAGAAATTTGGCCAAGAGACATTTCTTCAGTAAATATTTTATATTTGTTTAAAAATACTGAAAGTAATTATTTCCATTGAAAGTTGAAAGTTCATGAGAGCTATGAAGGAACTTAAGGTAAACTGATTATTGTGGTAAGGATACTTTTACAAACTATCAATAAGCTGGATCCGAAAGCATGTATGACCTTTAGTAGTAGGTATTTCTTGGTTTCTGACATTTACATACTAAACTATGGTCTTATAATACTCTTATAGTGTTAAATAGCATCTGCTCATTAAACTCCTGTGTACCAGACTTGTGATAAGATGAATAACTAAGCAATGGAGAATTTTGTAGGTAGGCTTATGTTTTTCAAAGAGAACATTTTCAAAAGTTTGAGTTTTTATGCAGATACCATTGAAGTGTTTTTCCACTACAGAGGTTTTATATCTTTAGGTGTTTACCAACTGAAATGATACAAGTGAAAATTAACAGGTAAATCTATATACCTAAATAACTCACATATTTATATCCATGACTTTTCAAAGACACCAACAAACTATCTTGTCTTAAGTGAAAAGAATAAAAGCAATATTATTCCAGATAACTTTTAAGAGCCATTTTCTATGATAAAACTAGGTATGTGAGAATTTAATAATGCTTTTAGGCTGGTGAGATGTCTCAGTGGGTAAGGACACTTGCCTTGCAAGCCTGGTGATCTAAATTCAATCCCTGAAGATCATGTGAAGATGGAAAGAGAGAATTAACTCCTTGAATTTGTCCTGTGACCAAAATATGCACACTGGCATACACACCTGCACACTCACACATATACACACACGTATTACTAATAAATAAATAAGAACCTTTTCAAAATTATAAGTCTCTTTCTTCTGACATCTGGAAAGATGTCAGAAAAAATACCCAGAAAAGTATTTGAAAATAATATAATGTGTATACCTCCACATCCAGAGGTAGCAAAGTTAAGATTTTATGTCTATCTCATTCCCAATAAAGATCCTTTATATACCTTTCCTCAAGTTGTCTTTCTCTCTTTTACCTGTAAAGGTAACTACTCACCTAATAGTTGCTTTTTAACCATTCCTGTCTGTTTCCATATAGGTGCTGATGTACACAAGGGCAAGTACTGGGACACTCCACTCCATGCAGCTGCTCAGCAACCCAGTACTGAAATTGTAAACTTATTGCTAGAATTTGGAGCAGACATCAATGCCAAGAACACAGAACTCTTGAGGCCTGTCGATATGGCTACATCTAATAGTGCTGTAGAAAGAGTACTTCTTCACCATGAAGGTAGGGGGAATCTATGTGAATAGTTATAAATGCAAAAATATACTTCCCTAAAGCAGACCATAGTGAAAACTTGTTACCATATGAAGTAGCAGTCACATAAATTTCAAGTATTTATTGTGAGAACCAAAAAATTTAACTTGGGTTCTATGTGAGGAAAATGAGATTTTAAGATCTTTATTGTATCTAAACTATTATGATCCTCTAGTAAAATATGTTGAACTTTTTTCAACAGTGCAGAATATGCAGTTTTCTGATGCAATATCTACTTATGTGCACTATTTTAAAACTATTTGGGCATGTGCAATGGTATCACACAGATTTAATCCCAGCTCTCAGGAGGCAAAGACAGACAGATTTTTGTGAGTTTGAGGCCAGACTGGTCTACAAAGCTATTTCCAGGACAGCTAGGGCTGTTACACAGAGAAACCCTGTTTCAAAAGACAACAATGACAAAAATTGAGTACAGGGTAATTGAGCTATAGGTCTAGCATAAAACACACCAGCACATGCTGGGCCAGTTCTCTGTACCGATGAGTCATATTTCCAAGCAGCAGAATTCTCCCCATTCCCCGTACACACACACACCCCACGTTGCTTTTTGGGTTGTTGTTGGCAGGGTTTCTTGTATCTTATACTGGCCTTGAACTCACTAGATAGCCAAGGATGTCCTTGAAATTCTAATCCTCTGACTGTGACTCTCAAGTGCTGGGATTATAGACATGTGCCACCAAGCCTAGTTCATGCAGTGCGGTGGATCAAACTAGAGCTCCATGTATTCCAGGCAAGGAGTCTACCCACTGAGCTTCATTCTCAACCCATTCATGCCCCATTTTATAAGGCATGGTGCATGTTCTGTAGTGTGTTGTAGACACATAATAAGGAAAGATATCTTTTACCTTTTTGGGGGTGTAGTTTTGAGCCTGTCCTGGTACTAGCTCTGTAGATCAGGCTGGCCTCGAACTCACAGAGATCTGCTTGCCTCTGCCTCCAAATGCTGGGATTAAAGGCACGCACCACCAACACCCAGCTGATATCTTTTACCTTTAAGACATTTTATTTTTTCCTAAGCAAATTTTGTAAAGGTTAGTTCAGACTATAATTGCAATTTATAAGTTTGCCTTTGTGATATATATCTTGGTTCTTTTGATTTACATCTCCTTCAAAGATAAGAACTTGTTCTGAAAATTTCAGTGAAACAATAATTTTATAATCTTTAAGATAGTTATATCTTTTATTATTTATTTGTATTTTTGCATGTGTGAGTGTTTTGGCTGCATGAATGCAAGGACATGGCATGCCCAGTGCCTGAAGAAGACAGAAGAGGGCACCAGATATCCTGTAATTGTGGTTAAGGATGGTTGTCAGCTATTGCATCCTGTGGGAGCTGGGAACTGAACCCACGTCCTCTGTAGGAGTAGCAAGTGCTCTTAACCGCTGGCTACCTTTCCATAACTTTGAAGCCTATAATGCTTTAAATAACATGTATGGGACATTTCTCAGTCCTGAAATATCTCAAGATCTCAAAAATAAAGGCTATATGAATAATGAAAGGCATTTGTCATTAGCCAAATTAGTTTACTGTTCATATGCTTTTAGTTAATAGAGCTTATCACATATAAACATTCACTTTTAATAAACATGTCCATGTCTTCTTGTAGCTACCCCAAGTTCTCTCTGCCAACTCTGTCGACTCTGTATCCGCAACTACATAGGAAGACAAAGGTTGCATCTTATTCCCCAGCTCCAGTTACCAACGTTGCTGCAGAATTTCTTACAGTATCGATAACACAGTAAATAGTTTTACATTCTTTGAAAGTCAAAAATTTCTATTTCTTTTTAAAATACAGAATGATACAGGTGAGACAAATACAGTTCACCTGGGGAAGCAGTGAAATCTCAACAGATTTTTATTTGAAAAATACTCATTAATAGTTTATGAATTTTTATGGCCTTTTGGATATTTTTTTGAAATATCTATACTATCTTAGCCATCTCAGTCTTAGAGGAAAATGAAAATGTATTCATTTTATGTTTTTTTTATTATAGAGCCGAAAAAATGCATATGTTTACTAAATTTTTAATTCAATTGTAAATTTCATACTGTGTTACAATTTGAAGAATCTGTATTCCTTAAATAATGGGTTAACTGTAATTTCAGCTACTACCGTTAGTTATCTCTGTGTTTTTAATACTGACAAAAAATTTAGAGCAACTAATACGCTTTTTGAAATAAAGATGAATTATACATTTGCTGTTGTAATGATCAATTTAGCAGAGTAAGATGATCTCTCTGTACTGAGATCTCCAATTTGCTTTCACTTGTGATAGACTAAAAAGTAGAAGGACTGAAAGTTAGTCCCGCCCTTGCAACGACAAATATGGGAAGTTAAACACCTATGAAAGCTATTTGAAGACCTTCTCAAAGTTAAACACGTGTGAAGGCTATTTGAAGACCTGTTCAAGAGATGTTTCACAAGGTCTGACACCTCAATGCTTTCAAATGTTCCTGTAGTTTTCTCCCACTTCAAAAACTGTCTGCTAGCAGTAACAGACTGAAGAAAATGGACTTTATGCTTCTGTGATGAAGTCCTTAGTTACATTCCAAGGCCATCAATTCATACAGTGAGTTCTATAATAACTGTCCCAGAATAGTGTGTGCCAGGGCTCCCTAACTCCTTAGTTTCTATTCTTTAAGTGCCTGGGTCACTGTCTTGATAAGTGAATCCCTTGGCTTTCATCTTTGAAATGGGGTCAATGATCAAGGAAGCAGATGAATCATTTTACTTCCCGTTTCTTTTGCTTGACACTAAGAAGAAGAGGACTTTCTTACCATGAACAATTACACACACCCTTACTGCAGGGGTTCTTAACCTGTGGATTATGACCCCTTTGGGGGTCACATAACCCTTTCACAGGGGTCACAAATCAGGTATCCTGAATATCAGGTATTTACATTATGATTCCTAACATTAGCAAAATTATAGTTAGGAAGTAGTAGCAAAAGTAATTTTATAGTGGGGGAGGGTCACCACAACATGAGGAACTGTATGAAAGGGTTACAGCATTAGGATGGTTGGGAACCACTGCTCTAGCAAGAAGGGCTTAGAAGAGGCGCATTAATATTTCCTAAGAGGAAGGTGATATACATGTATCTTTGGCTGGTAAGGGGAGATGTGACTCTGACACAGTGCAAACTGCAGAAAACTCACATCAGAAAAGACAAACAAGCAAACAAAGACTATTCCTTAGTGTAAATACAGTCCTCACCAGTCCTAATGATGGTCACACCCACAATCCCACTGAAAGCTTTTAATTATTCTTAAAGGAGTAATGTTTTTAGTTAATTGTTCATGGAAATGTAGTTTTAAGATAATATGCAGTAGATGAGTTCTAGGCAGAGGCCAGGAACATGATGACATCTGTTTTCCGTCTTTAGTATTATGAACATTCTTTGCTGTGAAGATGATTTTGATGTGAACACATCCCAGCCCTATAGCATCTTATAACATTTGCCTTCCTGTGGCATTCCCCTTCATATGAAATTGTGGGGGGGGATGGGAGGGGAGGGTGTTTAGAGTGCATGTGAGAGGGCAGAGAGGGTAAAAGGGAGGGAAGGAGGGAGGGAGGGAGGGAGGGAGAGGGAACTGGGATTGACATGTAAAATAATAAATTAAAAAAAAAAAAAACATTTGCCTTCCTGACACAGTCAAGGCTTGAGGGGGACAGCTCTTGACAGGTGAACACAAATACTCAGCATGGATCCTACAGAAATCTTCTCAGAGTTAGATGTCCTCCCTGGAAAAAGTAGAGTAAAAGTTGAGATTTTTGGATTAACTAAGTCATTCAAATGGTTTCCCCAAAGAAACTAAGAGATTGCTGAATTGGCTGTGTTTGACCAAATTGACTTAGGAAAGAGAAGATTGAGATGATCAAAATAAATAAATAATGTTTAGAATAGACTTTTTGTCCAGTTTTCACTCCCAATATATGGTTTTCATAGGCCAAAATTATTTTTAAAATGTTTTTTAGCCACAGTTATTTATAAAAAGATTTAGTGAGGACTTAGGTAATAGCCTAGATGATAAAATCTCCTATTATACGGTGACTTGATTCAACACCCTCCCCCCCCCCCAATTCATGTCAATGTTGAGGACTTTGTGATTTGAAATACACACACACACACACACACACACACACACACACACACACACTGAGTTAGATTCTCTTGCAAAGCTGAACAATTAGAGGGGTCCTATGCTGACATCATTCAGATTACAACACTGTAACAATCTTCAAGTTTGAATAGTAGAATTTCTTTTTTAATGTCCAGAAATGATGCAGCCAACTTTGTCCTCCCAGGTAGTTATTAATACATCAGTTAATAATTCCATCTGGGAGAAGTCTTCCTTTCTGGATAGTTGGGTGGAGATTCCTCAGGTAATTCCTTGAACATAAGAGTACAGGAGGAAAAGAGCCATAGTACTGGTTAATTTCTGTCAAGTTGGTGCAAACTAGAGACATCTGGGAAAAGGGAATGCCAATTGGAGAATTTTCTCCATAAGGTTGACATGTGGGATATATTTTCCTTTTTTGTTTAGTTTTTGAAATTGACATTTAATTACAGCATTTTCCCATTCCCTTTCCAGTCTCCAAATCTTTCCGCCTCTTTTTTTGTCTATTGTTATTGTTCACACACATCATTTTCCTATTGTTAATAGATAGAGGGAGACTCAGTTCTCTGTGGGCCATACTATGCCTAGGCAGGTGGGCCTGTGCTGTATAAGATAAACAGACCACCAAACCAATGGGGGAAGCCAGTAAGCAGCATTCTTCTGTGATCTCTGCTTCACTTCCTACTTCCAGGTTTCTGTTTGAGCTCCTGTCCTGGTTTCCTTTTATGATGGACTCTAACCTGTAAGATACAATAAACCTTGTTCTACCCAAGCTGTTTTTGGTTAGTGTTTTTATCAATGCCCAAGACAAAAAGCAGATCAACTTTTCACCTTGAGAATTGTCATCTGCCCTCTATTCTCTTAAATCAGTGGTTTTCAACCTGTGGTTCGAGACCCCTGTGGATTGTTGAATGACCCTTTCATCTAAGACCAGATGTTTACATTATGATTGATAACAGTCACAAAATTATAGTAATAAAGTAACGACTAAGATAATTTTAGATTGGGGTGGTCACCACAACATGAGGAACTGTATTAAAGAGTCACAGCTTTTGGAAGGTTGAGAGCCACTGCCTTAAACACTTCCTGGGAAAAATTATCTAGAGAAAATGAAATTATACTGGATTTAGAGAGGCATATTTGCCTTTGTCCTGCCCTCAAGAAGTGGAATCTGCTCCTGTGACTCATGTTTGATGGATTCTATTTCTTGCCATGACTAAGAAATACGGTAAAAGCATCATGAGACACTTTGATATGGGCCTCTGAAAACTTCTGTTTTCATGGGAAAGACTGAGGCTACCAAGGGAAGAAGCCCAGTTTGGCCTACTAGAGGTGAGAAAATGTGGAGAGAGGGCTTAGTAACCCAATACCAAGAACCAACCATGTGAGTGAGATGTATTACTTACTTTTCTATTGCTTTCATAATAATCCATGACCAATGCAACTAATGGAAAAATGGGCTTGTTTGGGCTTATGGTTATAGAGCAGAGGCTCTCAATCTTCCTAATGCTTTGACCCTTTAATACAGTTCCTCATGTTGTGGTGACTCCCAATCATAGAATTATTTTTGTTGCTACTCCATAACTGTAATCTTGCTGCTGTTATGAATCATAATATAAGTGTTTTTTTTTTTTTTTTGAAGATGGAGGGTTACCAAAGGAGGTGTGACCCACAGGTTGAGAATCCATGTTCCAAATGGTGAGAGTCCATCACCTTCATAGTAGAGCAGTATGGCATTGGGCAGGCAGGCAGCTGTAACAGCAAGCTCAGAGTTTACATCTTGAACACAATCTCAAAACAGAGCGCTGGGAATGACCATAGGCTTTAAGAACCTCAAAGCCCATTTCCAGTGACATACTTCCTCCAGTTAAGACTATACCTCCCTAAACCTTCTCAAACAGGGCCAACAACTGGCAACCAATTATTCAAATGCATGAACCCATGGAAATCTCATTCAAACAACTACATATGGCCATTCTGGGTCATGCCAACTGAGAAAATGTATGTTCACAGGCAGAGTGATCTTGTAGATCAGTGAATAAGATGGGGATTTCCCAGACTCAGGAATCCCAGGTCATGATGTGCTTGCTTTATGTTCAAACTTTCTCTTTACAGCATTTCTGATTATCCTGTGAAGGGCAAGAAGAGTGTGGCCTGGAATCAGAGTTCTTCCCTCTCCTAGGTTGTGATATATCAAGTTCTTTAACTATTCCAAGAGTCTGGGGTCTTCCAAAGAATCCATGAAACATATAGAGTACCTTTCTTCACATGGTCTCTGTAGAAATAGAAAGCAAACAAAAACTCGCTACACAGAAACAAAACCCTCATATTTTTCACAATTCTTTATAGCGTTGTCTCTAAACTTCAATGTTGGGTAATGTTCTCAGTGATTCAAAATAAAGCTCTTTCCCAATATTAGATCCTGGGAGAGATTCAGTAATTATACCCCATTTATTCACAAAATTCAAGTGACACCATGGCAATATTTGCTCTCTGCCTCTAAGATTAGCAGAGAGCTGTGGGTCTTAACATCACACAGCTGGTCACACTATATGATAATGACACTAACTTAACTCAATGAACAAGAAGCAGCTAGTTGCTTAGCTTGCCTTAGTAAGGGGTAGGTGAGCTAGCAGTAGGGGAAATCTTTTCTTCAGTTATCAGTCAGCATCCTGTCAGAAAAGAGAAGTTGTTCTGTGTACCAGTAACTGAGAACTTAATATAAGGAGCTTGTTAAACAGATGCTAGAAACTGAGCAACTAAAATAGGAACATCAAAGCACACTATTGATGCTTATGACAGCAATTACCAACCCCACTGCAGATGCTGAGGTTATAAGCAACAGAGGTTTGCAGACAAAGCTCTATAAAATCACAATTTTGAGCAGAAGGTGTCCCTCGCTAGTGGTGCATTTCAGGAGTTCCAGGAGGCTATCCCAGGACAAAATATGGGCCTCAAACTTCTAAGGAAACAATGTGTGGGTGGTTGCTAAAATCCCTGTGATAGTATGATAAAACCATGCAAGCATGAAAAAAGAAAAACAAACAAAAGAGAAACATTAGCTTGGATACTAGAACCAACGGGCTAGTTCCAGGTGATGCTTGGTTGTTATGGCAACACAGAAATTAATAGCAAGCAAATGGGGAACAGCAAATCCTGCTTTTCTTTCTCTAGTCTCCTGTGTCCCTCTGTTTCCTTTGTTGGCAGAGTTTTTCAAATGTTTAGCAAAAGAGAAGTCAGACTCCAGAAATGCAGCTCAGAAGCTTAGAAAGTATGTTGTAAAAGAGATGCATGTACTTTATTGACACATTACAAAAATAGACTTCTAACTTCAGAGTAAGATTCTAGAAGTCAGGCCCAGTGGATAGCTAATTTGTCTCTGTAGGTCTTAGTGACCAAGTCTTGGGTTAGTCTTCATGTATAAACAAACACTTCCTATGAGCCTAATAATTAACTCATTTCCTGAGGAAATATCCATGGACATGATAACATGGAAGGGTGAAAATTTCATGGGGTCCCACACCTAGACAAAGAACTACAGGAAATCTTGACTACTGAAAGGAGAATTAGATTCCCCCAGGGATGAGCCCATTATTGGTTTTCCAATGCAGAATGGCTGGTTTAGAAATCACAGCTACACCACTAAGAAAAACAGACTTGGCAGTGTGTGTGTGTGTGTGTGTGTGTGTGTGTGTGTGTGTGTGTTCCCTAAATTTAACTTTCATTAACTTAACCCAATCAACAAGAGAAAGGTAGGTATTTTAGCAGTAGAAAAAAATCTTTACTATATCTATCTATATCTATATATAGGTATAGATATATATGGGTGTGTGTATATATATATGTATATGTATGCATATATATGTATACATACATATATGTATCTTTATACACATATGTACTTAGATATTCTTTGTCCGCACCATTGGGGGTGGGGACAGGAGTGGATGTGACCTGGGGGGATCTAGGTCTGGTGAAGGGGCCTTAGAATGCTCTATTGCTTGCAGGACCAAGACAGAGAGCATCCGGAGGCATCCTTGGGACCAGGAGCCTGCTGGTATTCATCTGTCTCTGTTTTAAGTTATTTCTCCCTGAATAAACATCTATTCAGTCTATCTGTTTTTCCAGATCCTTATTAAACCATAATATACATATGTGTAGATGCTTGTATATAATTATAATTAATAAAAAGAGGATATCAACTTGAGAGTGCAGGCATGGAAATGGTTCAAGAAAGGATAGCAGGGAGGGGCTGGAATAAGGAAAGGGAGAAAATGATGTATATGTATTTCATGAAAAACATTTTTTTCAAATAACCTATTTTCTCTATTCCCTTGCTCATATTAGTCATTCCATGTAGAACTGCCATTTCTTCTATCATGAAACATATTTCCAGAGTCATAAAAATGATAAACACTGATGACTAAGTACTACATATTTCCTCTGTTGCTCTAAGAACTACATATTTGATGTCCTTATTTAATCCTCGGAAACCTCGTAAGTTTATCTTATATCCATATTTTACAAATAAGGTTGGCTAAATAACTTGCCCAAAGTCATATAGCTAGTTAGAAGTAGAACCAGTTCTTTAAAGCTGATGTCTTAATTTTTTTTTGTTATATGTGTATATCTGTGTGTGGATATGTTCAGGTAAGTACAGCCTTTCTATAGAGGCCAGGGATATCCATTTCCCTAGAGCTGGAGTTGTAGTGGTTGTGAGCTGCCTGTCATGGTTCCAGGAGCTGAACTCAGGTCCTTTGCAAGAACAGCATGTGCTCTTAAACCCTGAGCCATCTCTTCATGCTCTGAAACTGTGTCTCAATCAACTCTAATTCAATAGAGAGGATCACGAATGGGTGAAATTTAACCAGTGTTACTGAATTAATTATATTAAATTGATTTCATTTTAACTACAAACATCCATATGTAGCTAGGGGCTACAAAAATAGACAATGAAGGTCTAATTCATAGCTTTAGATAGTTTCTGAAAACAATCATGAAGTGAATGAATCATTGATCACACATACCACTGGGCAAAGAGAAAACACAGTGCTTCATTCCCTTCATTTTTACTCTTTATGGATTGCATTTTTTAGTATGTGTGCTTGCACGCACACTTGTGTATCACACGTGCATAATGATGTCAGAAGATAAGTTGAAGGGCTGGTTCTTCTCATCTACCATTGAGCAAACTGAAGTCGTAGCATTTAGCAGCAAGTGCCTCAACCATCTGAGCTGTCCCTCTGCCCTCATCTTATGTACAAATTCACAGTAGTTTATTATTAATGATCACACACACAAATAAACATTCAACAAATTATTATGTAGTACCATCCAGATCCAACCCATGTTGGATATTTGACATTAAATATATTCTTGCTATGAAGACTTTAAGGGTTTCCACAATCTTTCCTGCATAGCTATTTAATTTACAATTGCCTATCACCAATTTGCAATAATTTTTCATTTTCTAAATCACTCCCTAATGAATGACAAGTGTCTAGATTAGTTACTGGCAGGGAACGACTCAGTAAATATTTGTTGGATGAATCCCAGGATACCTTGAAGTCTACGAATGTAATTATAAATTGGTGTTTTTTTTTTTTTTTTTTTTTTTTTTTTTTTTTTTGGGTTTTGGTTTTGGTTTGTTTTTCGAGACAGGTTTTCTCTGTATTGCTTTGGAGCCTGTCCTGGAACTAGCTCTGTAGACCAGGCTGGCCTCGAACTCACAGAGATCTGCCTGCCTCTGCCTCCCTAGTGCTAGGGCTAAAGACGTGTACCACAAACGCCCAGCTATAAATTGTTTTAAAATATGTAAGTTTAATGGACATTTGATGTAATCATTAAGGAACTTTTTTTGTATGATAATTTTAAATTTATTTTTCTTTTCAGTACAAAATTCCTGTAGATTCCGGTTCTATCCTCCACTTCCACCCAACCAACCCCCCCCCCAACTTTCACTGCATTCTAGAGCTTTCTCATATCTCTCTGCAAAATGCTTTATTGGCTTTTGCTGACAGACCTTAATACATACAATCTATTTAAAAAAAAAAAAATGTGTTAATCCGGGTATAAAAAGAAAGATCTCTCAACATATTGCAAGTGAAACCAACAACTCACACTTGAAGCTCTGTGTAATTATTTAAGTTTCTCAGACTGTTAAGGTCCAGTGGGTCCAGAGATACCGGAACTCAACTTACTGCTTCACTTCCTAAACTTCCAACATGCTTCAAAATGCTTTGGAAGGTCCATGGCAACCACTGTTGCAGAGCCGGCTTAGAAACCGAAGCTCCGCCCCCTTAGCGCTAAGCGTCCGGACCCCTACCGGGCACGGCTTGCCTGTTGCCATAGAAACCTAGAATGCGCCATGGCTGCCGCCGGCCAGGCCGAGGAGTGTTCACCACTGCCGGCGGCAGCCCCAGCCAAGTCAGCCTCACCTTCTTTACCGCCAGCAGTTCCTGTCCGAAAGAAGCCTAAGAAATGTCTGGTGTATCCGCAACCCCCAAGGAGCTCACGCCTGTCTCGTTCCGTCCTGCGTTGGCTTCAGGGGCTGGATCTCAGCTTCTTCCCTAGGAATGTCACCAGGTGCAGGAGCCAGCTAGGCCCCAGCGACCCTCCCCAGGGCTCACCCTTTCCTTGGCCACCTGCAGCACTCAGCTCAGGCTCAGAGGCAGGGGACTGGCCGCCCTGGTCTGGCATTGCTCCCAATGGAGACACCCTCCCTCCTTGTCTTAGGAGGCATCCCCATCATGACAAGAAGTTCAAGAAAGACATGAAACTTTTTTTTTTCACTGATTTTATTCAACGGATTATCAAATTGTTATTCAACGGATTATCAAATTGTAGACTTAACGCTAATACTGAATGTTTTGATAACTACAAAAGCCAAGGGCTCTTCGCATTAATTATAGTAATAATGGTTAGCTTACTCTCCTTTAGAAAGGGTATCTAGTTTGAGTGTTACCATTGGTTTTAAAAGGTCATTGTATACCGGAAACTACATTGAATGCTACTGGCCGTTACTATGGAATGTGACCAAAACTCCATAAAAAATGGAGACCATGGATCTTTTGCAGGAAAACTCTAATTTACTAATTTCAGTAGCAGAGTTTCCTACATCTGTGAAACTTTCAATGAGCATTGAAATGCTCACTTGAATGTCTGCATACAGTTGTGCGTGTGTTGTACTAGTGATTTAGTCAAGGGCCTCATGATTCTAGGCTTAGTTATATAGCTCCATGGTTTTTCTTTGTTTTGTTTGGTTTTTGCAGACAAGGGTTCTTTTCATTGTGTAACAAGTGTAGCAAGTGTAACAACCATGGCTGTCCTGGACTTGTTTTTTAAGATCAGGTTGGTCTAGAACTCAAAGAAATCTGCCTGCTTCTGCCTCCTGAGTATTGGGATCAAAGGCGAGCACCACCATACCTACCTATATCTCCATATCTTATAATACTTCTTTTCTTTTTCACTTGAAATGTTTACTTGAAATATTGTTAAATCTAATAAACTGGATTCGTTAAAGGAACAACAAAGCCTTAGAAAATAATTTTAACAAACCATTTTCCCATTGACAGTCCTGTTCAGAAAAATTAACAAGTTTTTCCAGATATTTTGTCATTATCATGTATTGGTCATTAATTACAAAATTATATAAATTATATTAACTATTTTTTTCATTTCCTTGTTATGCATCAGGGATTTTTCAAATGGCTACCTAGTTGCCGAGATATTCTGTATATATTACCCCTGGGACCTTAGATTATCATCCTTTGAAAATGGAACCTCCTTAAAAGTGAAATTGGATAACTGGGCACAGATAGAGAAGGTAAATTAATAAATTAGCTGCAGTTTACTGTGCAGTTGTTTTAGAAAGTGCATTATTGGTATCTGTATGTGAGAGAGAAACAGAAAGAGAGCATGTGTCGAGTCTGGGAAATAACTGGTTTGTCAAATTCCAAAATCATAAATTACCTATGAAATATAGCATTTGTCTATTATTAATGTGGTGCATAATAGTGGCTTTCTTGCAGAACAGTAGCAATGCTGATAATTAACAAAAAAATTTAGCTCAGAAGAGGATTGACAAAAGTAAATTCATAGCATTTGGTTATTTTTCTAGAACTTCCTATGACAGAGTATTTTTTATCTATTATTAAAGTTTCTAGCAAGAAAAAAGTTTAAACTACCCAAAGAACTGATCCATGGAACGATTCACTGTAAACCTGGGGTGCCTGAAATACTGATTCAAGAGGTTTACACTTTACTAACACATCAAGAGTGAGTACTTTGAAATTTTCTAGTTTTGTAATTTCATGTAAGTTTGTGATGATTTAAGGCTCTTTAATAAGACATGGTTTGCCAACAGGATTTTGTTTCTTATTTCTAGAATTAAGAGTATCCAGGATGACTACGCTAATTTCACAGACTATAGTTACCAAATGCGTTTGCCACTCGTTCCCAGGTCTACAATTTCAAAGTCAATTAAAGATAACATTAGGTTATCGGAATTACTAAGCAATCCTAATATGCTCAGCAATGAACTCAAGATAGAATTCCTCTTCCTTTTACAAATGTTGCAAAGAAAATTAAGTAGAAAATTGAACCCAGGTAAGCTTTCACCAGAGACAGGTGAGTTCTAAAATTGGTAAGGCTGTTCTTGTACTCAGATGAGAGAAAATCATTCAGAAGGTAAAATGAGTTATCCCTGGAGTGGATTCTTTCTCAACCCATTCCTTCCTGTTGAGGCATAGATTACATAGGGGTAGATGCCCATTTTTTCAGAGGGAAAAAAAAGGATGTTTGTCAGTATATTAATTAAACTTTTGTGAGAAATAAGTTCACATGTATCAACCATAACTCAAGAGAGCAGGGATGTTTGACTCAAGCTATCCTAAAGTTGTTGGAAGCAGCTCAGATTATGATTCATTCTCAGTGCTGTGTGGGAAAATGTGGTTAGAGATACTTTTCCCATAGTATAGTTGTTGGTGTATAAATGGAAGGGCAGCTTTCCAAAATGATTGTCAGGCCAACTTAAACTCTTGCCATACTGCCCATCAGTTGTCCCAGGCAGATGACAAAGTAAGTGTGAAAGACCCCCAGAGACCCCAAGAGTTTGGAGCCTGTCAGGGGGAAGGCCCTTGCCCCCAAGAGACGAGACCAGACCACTGGATGCAAGTGCAAGAGGTTGTTTATTGTTTACACAGGTACCTGTGGACGCTTCAGTCTTTCGGGGGGACTGAGCGTGCTGAGGTTAAAACTCAGGCAGTTTATATAGGGTTGGGGTGGCAAGAAGCAGGCTTACAGAAGCAGAAGCATGGTTACAGGGATTTCATTGTTTCATCTAAATGTTGCAGTTGTAGTTAACCAAGGACAGTTGGTTATTCGGGTTGGGCACAAAGAATACAAAGAATTCAGTTATGACTATCTCAACATACTGGACACTGTCCTGCTGACCTTGCTTTGGTCCAAGCTGCAGACCACAGATATCTGGTTGGCGTTGGATGAGAGCAGCACCTGGTTCCCTCCTGTACTTTTCTCATAACTTGACCTTGGCAAATTAGCAAGAGCAATTTAAACAGGCAATAAGCATAGTGGGGGTCTTTCATTCCCCCTTTTTCTATAAAATGAATAAAACCCTTTATTCATGGTTTTTCAGTTTTCATTTGTTTTAATTGCTGGTACTGCTGGGTCAAAACTAGGGCCTGAACAACTGACAAGTGTGTGTGTGTGTGTGTGTTTTTGAACAGTACCAGTCTATTTAAAATGCATCCAGGCAGCAATCCTGTCTACTTTCAGGGCGGTGGGAGTTGTCAGGAGCACAGTGTAGGGGCCCTTCCAGCGGGGCTCTAAGTTCTTAGTCTGATGTCTCCGAACCCAGATGGAATCGCCAATCTGGAAAGAGTGGGGCTGACAAGAGGTTCTTTGTTCCTCCCGGGATGCGGCCGCCAGAGGTTTCCAGACCTCTTCTTGGACTATCTGTAAGGCTCATAGATGCACCTGTATGGAAGGGGTGTTTGCAAAATCAGAAATGTCAGCATCAAAGAATGATACAGCTGGTGGTGGACTGTCATATAGTATTTCAAAGGGAGTTAGGCCATGAGGGCCTGGAGTGTTTCTGGCCCAATAGAGAGCCAGAGATAGGAGTTGTACCCAGTCCTTAAAGCCAGTTTCAAGCGTTAATTTGGATAAAGCCTCCTTAATGGTTTTATTTATTTTTTTTTTACCTGTCCTAAACTCTGGGGTCTGTAAGCACAATGTAGTATCCAATTTATCCCCAGCAACCTGGCCACCAACTGACTTACCTGGGAGATGAAGGCAGGCCCATTGTCTGATTCTATTACCTGTGGCATCCCATATCTGGGAAAGATTTCTTTTAATAGTTTCTTGGTGACCATTTTTGCAGTCTCATGTTTGGTAGGAAACGCTTTCATCCATCCTGAAAAGGTGTCTATAAAAACCAGTAAATATTTATAACCATACATTTCAGGTTTGACTTCAGTAAAGTCTATTTCTCAATGGACATCAGGCCTATGGCCACAAAGCCGGGTCCCAGAATTCAGTTTGGTTTTTCCTTGGTTTATCTGGGCACAGGCCAGACAGTTAGCAGTTACTTGTTCCAGTAATAAATTCCGATTGGGAAGGTAAGTTCCAATTTCTTGTTTATCTAGCAAAGTTTTCATATTTTTGGCGCTTAGATGAGTCAGTTTATGGAGGTGGTCTATTAACATTTTTGCCATTTTTATAGGCAGTATAGTCTTTCCTTGGTAGACCCAGCATTGCCGATTGGGGTCATAATCTGCACCTAGTTTCTGAACAATGTCCAAATCCGTTTCATCATAGTCCCAATCTGGAGTCTTAGCTGTTTCCTTTTCAGTCAATATGCTAATAGTCAATAGTTGGGGGCTTAAGGCTGCTTGTTTGGCTGCTTCATCAGCCAGGCGATTTCCTTTTGCCTCCAGGCTTTCCCCCTTTTGATGTCCAGAGCAATGCATTATGCTCAATTTTTTAGGAAGGAACAGGGCCTTTAATAATGTCAAGATTTTATTTTTATTTTTGATTTCTTTGCCTTCTGATGTTAAAAGGCCCCTTCTCCGATAAATTTCTCCATGGACATGGGCAGTGGCAAAGGCATACCGGCTATCAGTGTACACATTAAGCTTCTTACCTGTTGCCATCTGGAGAGCCTGAGTCAGAGCAAAGAGTTCAGCTCGCTGAGCAGAGGTGCCTCCGGGGAGTGCAGTGGCCCATATGACCTCTGAGGCATTTGTCACTGCAGCCCCTGCCTGTCTCTCACCATTTAGCAAGTAGCTGCTGCTGTCTGTGAACCAGGTGTAGTCTGCATCTTTCAAGGGCTGATCAGGCCACATTCCATGCATCTCTGCAAGGATCTGCTGACAGTCATGGGAGGCTGGTTCCTCCAGCAGTGGTAACAAGGTGGCTGGTTTCAGGGTTATTATTAGGGGTGGCTGTTGTATGGCCAGCCCATGCCCCCTGTTTCTGCCCAGGCCAGGGGGTGTTGTTTTAACCATAAGTCCATTCCTTCCTGCTGTTCAGGAGGCTTTTCAAAAAGTCTATATTCATTTTTCAATTGTAAAGTCAATATTTTAAGTGGAGCCCCTTGTGGGCCAGAGACTTTAGCTCCTGGTCCTTCAAAATGGATCTGGGCTTTTAATTTAGTCAGTAGATCTCGACCCAGTAATGGATATGAACAGTCCGGTACATGCAAAAAGGAATGTGAGATTTTACCTGATGCGAGATGAACTTTTCTCTCCGTGGTCCATCGGTATTGTTTTTCTCCGGTGGCTCCTTGTACCCAAGCTGTTTTGGTACTCAATGGCCCGTTCGTTTCAGTGAGAACTGAATGTTGGGCTCCAGTGTCCACCAAGAAGGTGACTGGCTGCCCCCCGACTCTTAAGGTTAGCCTGGGCTCAGGGGGGGGGGCTCCTGGCCCCGACTGCCCTAGTCTTCATCTAGGGCTAGAAGCTGAGTTGGTCTTTGGGGTCCATCCCCATGCCTCTGATTTTTAGGTCTCTTAAGGCAATCTTTGACCCAATGGCCTTTTTCTTTGCAGTAGGCACACTGGTCTCAATCTACCCTGGGCCTCCTTTTTTTTTTCTTTCTTTCCTGACTTCCTGCACTATGATTATTCTGAGCTACAGTGGCCAGAATTTTGCTTAATTCTCTCCGGTTCCTATGATCCCTCTCTCTCTCTCTCTCTCTCTCTCTCTCTCTCTCTCTCTCTCTCTCTTTTTCTCTCTCTCTCTCTCCTCCTTTAGCTCCTTCTTAAACTTGTCCTCTCTTTCCTCCTGCAACTTTCTAAGTCTTTTTTTTTTCCCCTCAGGTGTTTTTCTCTTATTAAAGATATTTTCTGCTTCCTTTACGAGATCCTGCAGGCTATAATCTTATAAATTATCTAGTCTCTGCAACTTAGTCCTAATATCTGGAGCCGACTGCCAAATGAAAGCCATAGAAACATTGCCCCTTTGCTCGTTACTATCAGGATCAAAGGGTGTATACATACGGTAGGCTTCCTTTAGCCTCTCCAAAAATGTAGTCGGAGTTTCCTCCGGTCCCTGGGTTATCTGTCTTACCTGAGCCAAATTCCTGGGACAGCGTCCCAGGCCCGAGGAGACCCGCTGTGAGTAACTGGCGATAAAGAAGTAGGTGTTAAAGTCCCAGCAGGGACGATTTAGGGGAAAAATTTCCTCAATTTTATTTGGCAACTGAGTTGCCAAATAAGACGTTTTTCCCAGGAAGATGCGTTGTTCCCCCCCCCCCCCCCCCAAGGTTAGGAGGACCTGCAAAAGCCATATTCAAGTAAGTTAGAGAGCTACAGGGTCTTTGGAGAAGGAGGGGTTGTTAGATTTTTCAATTATAAAGGTTGGACGCCAAGAAAGACCAGTATTGAAATTGAAATTGGCCTCCTAATCCAGCAGCCTGGGCAGGGGAAAGGCTCAGCAGGTTCCTTCGGTGGCTGGCTCCCTTTGATCTCCAAGTCAGCTGGCTACCAGGGAGTCCCACACAGTTTTTTTTTCCTTTAACCAACTGATTGTGAGCTCGGCTCTGTACATCATCAATGATCTAAAATAAACTTAAGGGGGTGGTTAAAGATTGTTTCATATTTTCTTCGAAATAAAGAATCAGACAGATAAACAGAACAGACAAAACACATAGACAGCCGGCATAAGGACACGCTGCGCGTTTTCGGCGTAAAACCGAAACCAGATACTGAGTTGGAGGCACAGAGGATCTTAAGCTCCCTGGCCCCCCCAAAACCACGAATCCCTGGGACTCGTGTGGGCCCCGAAAAATCGGGCACCCCAGATCCCTGAGACGTCTCCCAGGGTGGCGGGTAGAAGTCCGAGCTCGTCAGCTCCTTCTCAAGCCGCCTACAGACTCGACTAGCCTAGCCGATTACCGATCGCTGCGCAACAAGCAACAAGTAAAAGACATATGAACAAGACAACAAAGAACAGAAATTAAGCGCTGGCCAGCTTACCTCCCGGTGGGTGTCAGTGTCAGTCTCTAGGGGGAAGGGTCTCCAATCTCGGTGGAACCTCCAATGAAAGACCCCCAGAGACCCCAAGAGTTTGGAGCCTGTCAGGGGGAAGGCCCTTGCCCCCAAGAGACGAGACCAGACCACTGGATGCAAGTGCAAGAGGTTGTTTATTGTTTACACAGGTACCTGTGGACGCTTCCAGTCTTTCGGGGGGACTGAGCGTGCTGAGGTTAAAACTCAGGCAGTTTATATAGGGTTGGGGTGGCAAGAAGCAGGCTTACAGAAGCAGAAGCATGGTTACAGGGATTTCATTGTTTCATCTAAATGTTGCAGTTGTAGTTAACCAAGGACAGTTGGTTATTCGGGTTGGGCACAAAGAATACAAAGAATTCAGTTATGACTATCTCAACATACTGGACACTGTCCTGCTGACCTTGCTTTGGTCCAAGCTGCAGACCACAGATATCTGGTTGGCGTTGGATGAGAGCAGCACCTGGTTCCCTCCTGTACTTTTCTCATAACTTGACCTTGGCAAATTAGCAAGAGCAATTTAAACAGGCAATAAGCATAGTGGGGGTCTTTCAAGTGAAAGTGGTATTCTAGCTCAATTATTTCTTCCAATTTTTGCATCTGTTTTTATCTTTTTCATATCTGTATCTTATCCCACTACCTACATTTCACACATAGAAAACTGCTTCGGTAGCAAAACAACTATTCGGGAAATAGGTTTGTCGTTAGGCTGTTTCTTCCCTTTGAACTATTTACCAAAGGAAAGTATCATTTACTCTCTAATCTCAGAAGGAAGGTGGAAGACTGCAGCTTGAATTCTCCCCATTTGGGCTGTTTGTATATCCCCTACATGAGCGCTGTTTGGCGTTTCGTTTTCCCTTACTATGCTCATTTTCCAAATTCACACATTATTTCTCTTCCTTGATTTGTTAGTTATCACGGGCTCCGCTTGTTTATTTGTGAGCAAAGAAATAATACAAGATATTAATCCTTTTACAGGATTTTATATTTAAAATGTGTGTTTTAAACATTAAGATTAAACATTACAAATTTGCTTCAAGATGTATCCAAATGTATCTCACACCCATGTATATAATACATGAACTGTTTCAAAAGCTGCTAATGACAGTAAACAGTTGTGTATCTGTATGCAGTTTAAGAAATAGACATTACCAACCCCTTCCCCTTCTCTGCACCAAACCTTGATTGAACTCACCACACTGTCCTCTCAAGGAAACCACTGTCTTCTTGCTTGTATTGAGAAATTCCCAGATTAAAATAAAGTTAATCTCATATACTATCATGTCAGCCTCAGCCATACACATGTACACACTTGTGTGTTGTGCGTGTGTTGTACTAGTTATTTAGTCAAGGGCCTCATGATTCTAGGCTTAGTTATATAGCTCCATGGTTTTTCTTTGTTTTGTTTGGTTTTTGCAGACAAGGTTTCTTTTCATTGTGTAACAAGTGTAGCAAGTGTAACAATCATGGCTGTCCTGGACTTGTTTCTTAAGATCAGGTTGGTCTAGAACTCAAGGAAATCTGCCTGCTTCTGCCTCCTGAGTATTGGGATCAAAGGCGAGCACCACCATACCTACCTATATCTCCATATCTTATAATACTTCTTTTCTTTTTCAGTGGGCTTCCTTTATTTATTTATATTGCTTTGTTGTTTTTCAGAGAAAGTCTTTGTCACTTTTTAAATTTTTATTGAAAATAGACCTTTTCACACAGTGTATTCTGATTAAAGTTTCCCCTCCCCCAGCTCCCTCAGGTTGGTTCCTTCCTGTCTTCCCTCCCACATTGTTGAAAATAAAGTTATTTTCATACAATGTATTCTGATTATGGTTTTTCTCTTCATCTCTTCCTGGATCCTCCCTACCCTTCCAACTCCACACCTTCTTTCTCTCCCTTTAAAAAAAAAAAAAAAAAAAAAAAAAAACAGGCAAATAAAAAAGACAAACAAGCATAAAAAAGAAACTAATAACATGAGAAACACAAACAAACCGAGATCAATACATCTAACTTCTGTGCTTTTATCAAGCATTGTAGTGTGCAGAACAAGTCTTGACATTGTTAACCTTTGAGAACTATATTTATTACATTGCAGAGTCTTTTACAGATATAATCAAAGCTTGGAGTTGAAAATAGGAAAGAGGTGATAGTCAGGCGGCTCCTTATTGGCAAAGATTTTTCTCCAGCTAAAAGTAGAAAGATGCAGCAGGAGGGAAGAAATTACTGCCTAGGAACATAGAAATCACAAGAAATTCTGTGGCTTAGCTTCTAGGACAAAATAAACAAGAACAACTACAACAAAAAACTATGTTTGGTTGTTGGCTTGGAAAGAAAAAGAACTCAGAGCCACAAATGCAGTCAAATGCTCTACCACTGAGCTATACCCCATCAGAGACACAAATGCATAGACAGACTGTATGCAGACATGTGCATTCGATGGCAGGGTAATTTATTCCCAGAACTTCCAGGAAGGAACACAGTCAAGCTGGTACTTAGAGTTCATAATTGGAACACTCCACATGGAGGACCCAGACTTCCAAACTGACATTGAAATGGCTATTATAATTTAAAATGTATGGTGCTGTGTTATGGTAGAAATGAAGACTAAATAAAAACAGTTTAGTTAATTCTATGTCACTAATACACTGTCAGTGGAAGCACTTTCACTTGAAGTGACTAAGCAGAGCCCTTTGCTATTCAGATCTTAATTCATGTGCATTTTCTCTGAGGAGTGGCTTGTTTTAGCACCACTTTTGAAAGGGTTTGTTCTCTTTTCCCTAATTTATATGCCATTCATGGTCCACCTCCTGTGTACCCATTTCTCTGAGTTCTTGTCCACTTAGTCACCCACCTCAACATCCAGGTTGTCTGAACAACTATTACTTTATAAGTAAGTGCTGATAGCTCACAAAGCCCCCAGTCTTGTTCTGCTATGAAGTGTGCTTTTGAATGGACCTGGGTCATTTGTTTTACATCAGCATTCATTGTTAGGTAATCAAGGTTTTCTATAGTCATATCTGTATTCAGATCCGTCTTAACTGTTTAGTTTATCTTGTTTCTGTAGCATCTCTCCCTTACTTTCTTTCCTTTCAGAACATTCATTGTTATCAATTTTGAAAACTTCAAATTTCCACCCTTTAATGCTACATTAGGAACTTTAACATATACTTTATTGTAGTCTAAAGTTAATATCTCTACCACATTTCACTTAAAACCCTTTGTCTAGCATTTAATCTAGCTACTTACATTGTACTGTTGTTGTTGTTGTTGCTGCTATTGCTGCTTGTTTTATCTTTTGGAAAGTGTCACTTGGGCTATCTTAGAACTCACCCCATAGTCCAAACAGGTCTGAAAACCATTATCCTTCTACCTCAGCTTCCAGGGGCTTTTATTTTAGGCATAAGATTCCACACCCCAGATAGCTTACTTTTAATCAATCAGACATTTCTGAATGTTTTATTTCACTTAATTGTCCATCTTTACTCCTGTATATTGTTTTCTTTTGAGCATAGCTTCATATAGCCATGATCACTTTTCTCATTTTTTAAATAATTCTCAGTGTCCTATGGTGATTCTTATTTTTCAATTCTATGTATTTATCTATTTATTCATTCCTTCATTTTGTGTGTGAGTGTATGTGTGTGAGTGTATATGTGTGTGTGTGAGTGTGTGTGTGTGTGTGCATGTGTATACCACAGCCCACACGGTCATAGGACAATTTTGTGGAATCAATTCTCTTCTCCCATCTTTATCTTTTAACCTGCTGAGCCATTTCACTGGGCTCATCTTGAAGCTTGGTACTTTTGATTATACAATTTTTAAAATCTATTCCAAAGCAGTTAATAGAGATATTATAGTTAATGGGAATGCTGCTGAGGGGTATTTCTTTTGCCCTCAAAGAGCATGTGTGATAAGTAAATAACCTTGGTGTAAGGTAAGCTACAAGGATGGATAAAGCCTTTAAAGTGTAAGCAAAAAATGCTCAAAATTAGGGTTAGTTTAAAAGAAATTTGAGAAATGTGAAATTTTTGTCACAAAGTAAATTCATGTTTCCAAAACAAAATTGATGCTGTATGATTTATTTACATGAACTATGGAAATATGTAAAACCAACTTACAGTCACAGTTGTCAATATCCTTGTAGGCTACTCCAGGTGACAGTGGAAGGCTTAGGGTACTGGTGTTATATGATTTATCTTGAGCTGTGTAATGATGTCTCATGTGTGTTCATTCTAAAACACAATTCATTGGAATGAACTAAACTTATGCTTTCTCTTTCAAATGTAAGATCTTGAACAAAGCCATATTAAAATAGAAGAGACCACCTACAAGTTTCAGTTGAAAAAGAAGTGTGCCACAGAGCCTAATGACCTGCTTTTGATCCCTGGTACCCACATGGGAGGAGAGAACCAACCCTCTTAACCCTTGGCACTCATGTACCCACCTCCTCCATTCACACACAACACTCAAACAAAAGCAAGCAACACAATAAAAAATTACAAGAACGTGAAGATGCTACCTTTAAAGTCATATTTTAAACCACAGCAACTACTTTATTCATCAAAAATGACTAATGGGGTGAAGAGTAATTGTCCGATAAAATATGAAAAAAAAAACAAAAATGCCTTTAATTACTAAAACCCAAAGTCTTCTTTTAGTAATTCCAATATTTATATGTTTATATTTTATAGCGTGGTTTGGCGTCAAACCAACAGTAGGAGAAATTACAATTGATCATCTTCCTGCGAGATGCTGTGGGGGCAAATATAAACCAAAGGTTTCAAAGGAAAGAGCTGTGTCTGCTTTATGTAAGTTTTGGTTTTTCATTTTTGTCTGCCAACTGGATTTTTAAAAATTGTTCAACTAGAGTTTTAGGATAAGATAATGTTGTCCTGAACTTCACTCACCTGAAAGCCAGAAATTCACTTAGTGATGATCTGCATCTTGTCAAACCCACTTGTCTTCTCCCACAAACCACATCTGCATTCTCATTTATCCTCCCGTGCATTTGTTTGAAATAAGAGATGCTTCACTCAGAGCTCAAGACTCAGTCCCTTCATAAATGGGGGATGAGCCAGGCTTCCCAGAAGACAAGAGGACACGATAAACCTCATCAACACAGAAAGCATCTTAATGACAGGAAACCGCAGTCATGGGAACAAGGTTGGCCCATTCAGCTGTTGTGTGTAACTCATCAGTTAAGAAAGCTTTTTGCGCTTTTGATGGCTGGTAAAAATGCAAACAATATTTCCAGACACAAGAACATGTAATGGAATTCAAGGTTTTGTGTTGATAAACTGCACAGGACATAAAGCTTGTTTTCTGCCTGGTTAGGACTGTACAGTAGCAGGGGAACATAGTTGCCCAACAAATTTTATGGCTCACATACTAGATTTTCCAGATTTAGCTAATATGAACCAAGATTCTTTTTAAATATTTGAATTTTAAAATTCCTTCTAAATCTGTTTTTGTTTTGAAACACCATCTGTTTTTATAGCTTGTTCAGTCCTGCCTTCTGAGGTTATAGACATTCAGTGCCATACCTGGCTGCAATGAATAACATACTTAGCATACATTTTCATTTAATAGATAATGCTTATCTTGAACATACATTTTACTAGACACTCTGTATTTTGAAAATTCTAAAATATTATCAAGCCCCTTATAGAACATGCTTATTGGTGTTGGGACATGTTTCTTTACATGGTAAATTTTAATAGGACGGAGGTATTCCTTGTTTCCATCAGATGTGATAGAATAATCTCAGTGGATCCATTAAGAAAGAATTATGACCTCTGGGTGCCTTTAATATACTAATATATATTGTAATTATTTTTTCAAGTGTTTCAATCCTTTTCTTTAAAAAAATCATAAATTACTATTATTTACTTTTGCTTTGTTAAGTGGCCTTGCTGCACAAATGTTCTTCAGAGCACAGATTGTAGATTGTAATATCCACACATGAAGCTGCCCATCAAAACCCCTTAACTCATCATCTACCTGAGATGTGTATATTCTCACATCATATGTTAGAATCTAGCAAACATGACTAAAAAAACATATCCAGAATCTCTCTTTGGGTTCTAGGACTATATCCTGCCTTTCAACATCCATGAGCTCTTTTCTGTGAGTGGGATTTGTAGTATAGGTTTCAGCTTGGTGGGTCCATCAGTAGAAAAAGTATGGAACTGGCCTTGATGGGAAGACCACAGGAGAGTTTTGCTCCATACTCATCTCCTTGCTTCTTCTTCCTCTTGATTGATGGATCCAACTAGGCACAGGAAAGGATGGGAAGGAGCAGGGAATTCATAGCATAGCTTCCCTCCTGTGTACGAAAAAGATGCAGCATACAAAACCCTGGACCTCTACATTCCCACACAAATGAGTACATTAATTGATTTAAAAAGAAGTTAGAACAGGGTCTGTGTGCTGGCTAGTATTATATCAACTTGTCAAAGCTAGAGTCATCAGAGAGGAGGGATCCTAAACTGAAACATGCCTCCATGAGAATGGGCTGTAGGCAAACCTAAAGGGCATTTTTAAAATTAGTGACTAATGTGGGAGGGCCCAGCCAACTGTGGCTGGTGCCATCCATGGACAGATAGTCCTGAGTTCTATAAGAAAGGTGATTGAGCTTGTTATGGGAAGCAAGCCAGTAAGCAGCACTAATCCATGACCTTGGCATCAACTCCTGCCTCATGTTCTTGTCATGCTTGAGTTCCTGCCCTTCTATTTTTTGATGATGAACTGCTATATGGAATTGTGAATAAAATAAACCCTTTTCTCCCCAAGCTGCTTTGTTCATAGTGTCTTATTGCACCAAAAATAACCCTAACGAAGACAGCCTGATACCTAGTTAACTGCAACAAAACAAAACAAAATCCCAAATGCTTAATTGAATATTAAAGAATATTTCTGATTATGGTTATTTAATTTGAGACACTCTAAAATCCCACACAGGTATTTGGAACAACTTAATGCCAAACTAGGCAGGGTATTGCTTTTGTGTTTAAGTCTGTCACCTGTCAGGGTGAGTCAGGAGTCTTGAGTCTTAGGCCAGCTTGGATTACATAGTGTGATGCTGAATCTAAAGAAATAAATCAGACAGTAAAATATAAAAGAAACAAGGAAATGAAGAGAGGCTGCCATCATTACTTCAGAAGGACTTTAAGTAGAATGAATGTTTGTTTTTATCATTTGAAAAATGCCCTGCAGTGTAGACACTTCCTCCTTCGTCATGTTCCTTTAGCATTCCTCTTAGTGACACCTCTGGATGGCTCTTTAAGATTTGTGCTTCTCTTCTTTTTCCAAATGGCTGATGGGTATGAGGGAGGATACCCTCTGGATGGGATGTTGGACACACATTATTGCTCTTTACTTCTCTCAGTCCTGTTCTATCCCCCTCGATTCTTACTCAAAGCACACAGGAATGAAGAAATATGGGTAATTTAATATATGAAAACTTTTTTAGAAATATTATTCAAGTAATTTCTGTTCAGTTTTTGACAAAAGGATACAATGATTACTTCAAGTGAGCATGTATGAACTGAAAGTTAATCAAAGGAGGAGAAACAAGTACTACACTCTAAGGACTTTGTTGTTTATAGATGGTCAGAATCTCAAATTACAGGCTGATCTCTGGAACACAGAATCTCAATTAACAGTAAAACAAGTTACCATTAGAAAGTTATACTCTTATGTTTCTATATTCATTTTTCTAAATATTGTGTCTCTAGGGACACTGGCCCATCATATTAGACCTAAATGTTCTGGAATCTGGGCACCCAGAATGGATGACAGAGTAATGGGAGTTCTATAAACTCTGATATGACCCATGCATATTTGCCAAAGCTAAGTATAAAATAATGTCTCTGTTTGTTCAGCTGCTTTCTGAAGCAATATCTAAAAATACATGAGTTATATCAAATGCACCAAAATAAAGCCTGGACAGTTTTAGGCTTTGCTGATAAATTTTGGAGGAGGTAACACATTCATATATTATATTACATTATTATATGTATGGCTTAAATATTGTTTACTAATTTATTAAGTATAACCAGTGCTCAAACTATTGTTTATTCTGAATATATTTGATATATTAGAGAGATACTGATAATGGTATAGATATTTTATAACCATGAATTAATTTTTTGTTACTTTAAATATCCCAGCAAAACCAAGCAGTGATCACAGTCCACATAGAGAAATTCATGTGAAGCAAAGTGGAAAACCTTCTTGTGAGTCCATTACAAAACCTATGAGAAGTGCTGACGAAACAATAAAGGTCTCATAGAAGTGACTTTGAAGAAGTGATGTCAATGTCATCTACCACGACATGGGAACATAATGATCCAGTCTTGAATGTATTTAAATAATAAATAACTTAAATTGGTGTCTTAGTTGTAATTGAGCTTTTAAAAAACATTTCTTTTTATGTGGTTCAATACAGAGTTAGCTTGTAACTAGTGTCACAACACGGACAAAAGAATGACACATGGTGAACAATGCTGTAGGGAACTGTGAGAGAGGCACCAGGAAAGAAGGCAGAGGGCCTTTTACCTCAGGGGCATTTTATTCCCTAGATTGGTCTTGGATGTGATTTCATGCCTCCTGCAACAAACATTTCCATTCAATTATAAGGCGTGTTTATTCTTGTTGGGTGTCAGAACACAGCTATAGAACCCAATCTGGTCAGTGTACCCTGAATGTGGGATATGGCCTTCTGCCTTGCTTTCATGCTTTCCCAGATATAATCTATAGTCTATGCCAGACAATTGTGTTTAAACTGGTCTGTCCTGAGAAAGTTCTGGAAAAGGGCTGCTCTGTTAATATTTAGTGTGTGCTTATGGGCATGTATTTACATGTTTTTCTGATATTGTTTCCTTTTTAACTCCACCTTCCTTGTATCATTGCTTTCTTTGTTTCATTCATATATGAAGGGGCACTGAAACTACTGTAAAACTGTCCACAGCATTACACTGTAGTTTGTCCTATTTTTTAAGGTTCTCAAATTCCAGCTCTTGCAGACAGATCTACATAGTTTGGCAAAATTTGACAAGTAGATACATCAAGAGGCAACTGAACACAGCCAAATTCTATGGACAAGAAATAGCAGCACCCATCTGGGAAAGTTTGTTGGGTGATAATAGGGGCACTGGTGGGAGGGGCTCAAACACTGGAATATCCAGGTGAGTAACCACGGGAACACTGGAGACACCAGGTGTGATTGGAAGTTTTCAGGTACCAACTGCCATAGTTAGGCATGTTCAAGTGTGACTGCTCTGGTCAGCAATGCTCAGATAGCCAGCCATTAGGGATTTTCTGAGAATGTTTCAAATTTTTGTTTCTTAGCAAAACCAAGAATCCTGGCATTGCTAGACCCTGGTGAGACCTGCAGCTACACCAATATTTTCATTGGCTCTGCCATTTTTGGGGCCTTATCTTGGAGATCCCAGTCCTTTGGCAATGATATGGAGAAGCAATAGTTGCCTTAAGTTACTTAGAGCTGAGTAGAAATATTGGAAAGGGGAAGGTTTGGAATAGTGATCCCCAAAATGGCCTCAAGCTGACAGATGGTGGTAGGAGACCTGAGGGAATTCTCTCAGGATCATTAGGTTCATTGACCTATTATTTCCTGAAAAAAAGTCTGAAGAGCCTGGGCAATCATTACTATGAGAATACAGATGAGAGTCCAGGGAGAAGTACAAGCCGTGAGGCCACAGGAGAGCACAGTGAGGGTTTTGTATTAGAGTCTGCCCGTGGGAGTCAGATTCTGCATGACAGCTCATGTAGTATATTAATCTGCTCTCCTGCCTGGTCAGGTCGGTTTATACAGTAGCAGCAGTTTCCTTCGTTGAGAATGAAACAAGTGTCTTCTTCCTCAGCTGCCAGCAGGTCTAGGGACTTTTGGTCTTAAAATACTACCGAGGTCAGGGGGGTGAGCTGTTATTTTGTTAGCAGCAGGGCTGAAGCAAAATTCTGGGTGATACCTGTTACATGGATGGAGATCTGCTAAGATGCAGACTATGACCCATCATCCCTGAGATTACCAGGTTTATGCCAACTATGAGTAGGAGAGCCATTGCATGCCGGTCCCTATGGAAGTGCTGAAAAAGAAGACAGACTTTCCCTACAACATATAGGGGAACTAATAAGGTTAGGAAGCAGAGACCAGGGGCGGATGCATCTGTACATTTATAGAGCTTACAGTGACAACAGAAGAGAATCCCCTCTGCGATTAGTAAGGGTTTTGAGACTGAGCTAGCCTCATAAGCAGGTGAAAGACAAGACTGGAATACCTTGTTAATGGACAATCGCCTGGATTTTCCAGAGCGTGAAGAGAGGCACTAGAGATCTAGGGGGAAAACAAAATATTTGGGGTTATGTTGAAATGTGGAGGTGGCTTTGATGGTTTATAAAGATGTCACAGTTATGAGAGCAGGCTGAATGAGTCAAAGGTCAGGTGGATCTACAACCAGAGAACGGAACAGAAGGTGGCATTGAAGGTGAATGAAATTTGGGCAGAGTGTATTTGAAATCTCCATGCCAGTCACCCTGTCTGAGAGATCAGGAGGAAAGAAGAAAATACCAGCAAAGGGGCAAGGGGAGAGCCCATAATAGATGTTGTCAAGGACAGTAGGTTAGTCAGCATTCTTTAGAGGAGCATAATTGTTAGAATGGATAGATATAGATAGACAGACAGATAGATAGATATATAGATAGATAGATGGATGGATGATAGAATGGCTTTATTAGAATGGCTTACAGGCATGAATTGGGATTAAAAATTGGTCTTTCTACTTCAACTACTTTAGTTAAGAAAAACACCTCACTGGTAAACTGAGACACTTGTGTTTTAGTTAATTTCAAGCAAGAGATTCTTAGCTTAATGATGCCATCTGTTGTCAGGAGTACTTATCTCAGAGAAGGAATCAGGGGCCTGTTTGAGCTGTAACAGGTAGATCCATGTCAAGACACCCTGAAGCTTAGCCATTGTTGGTGTGGTGAGGATGACCTGATGTGGAAGGGCTCATGGATGAGAAACTTTCAAATTAACCCAGTTCCATGGTAGGGTGGTCTGGACATAATCAGCTTGTCCACTGAGCAGGTGTCTTAAGAGAGTATGTGAAGGTAAACAGTCACAGAGTGAGCCCAGTCCCAGAGGAGGTCAATTTCCTAAAAGAATAGGTTAGTGATACTTTCCATCAAATGGGCAGAGGGAGGAGAGAGCTGCAGCTTGTCTGGAATGCAAATTAGGGTGAGAGGTAAGCGTTCAGTCCAAGGAAGGTCAAGTTCAGAAGGCAATTTCAGTGAGTTTTAATAAGTACATTAGTCCTCTCTCTTTCACGAGGACCTAGAACAGCAGGGAATGTGAAGATGCCAGAGCTCCTGACACTAACCTTGTGACTTTAGAGATGAATGCCAGGCCACTGTCAACTGTCTAGATCTAGGAAGTTCAAATATGACTAAACTCTTCATGAGGAAGAACCATGCCACTGTTGCAGTCTCAGCCATGGTAGGAAAAGCTCCTTCCCATCCTGAGAAAGTGTCTAGCATAGTAAGAAGATACGTATGTGTTTTTGTTAGGAGGTATATGTGTGAAAGTTAACTGCCAGTCTTCCCCAGAGTAACTACTCCAAAATTGGTGAGGATTAAAGGAATGAGGGGTTGACAAATCTCCCTGTGGGGAAGGAAGTTTGGGTGTTGTGTTGAGGCATCCCTGGGTGAGAAAACCAAAAAGGTTGGGATGAAAGAAGAGAGGTTGGAGAAAGTGTGAACAGGCCTTTGGATATCTGTCAGGGAAAAGTATGTGTCTTGAAGAAGCTGGCCCTGGGGGCCTGCAAAGGCTCCTGTGGCCTGGAGTGTTTATCATTGGGACTCAGAGTAGGTATTTTGTTGACTTTCTTTGTTGTCTTTTGAAGCTTATATACTCTGCAGATTATATAGCCCTTTATAATTCAATCAAAATTTATAAATGTATAAATAGCATTTATCAATGAGATATTTTTCCTTTGGAATTATATAAATATTTTATTTTTGAAATTAATAAAATTTAATATTATTCCTTCATATCTTCTAACCACCAACCCACCTCCCAATTTATTATTCTTGAACAGCCAAAATGAAGATTACAAATACCCCAAATTTCCTTTTTACAAAAACCACTAATTTTGGAGAAAAAAAAATTTTCAGTCAAAATGGATTGAGACGTATTCCAGTTCCTAAAGGTGAGAATGGATTCACTTTTGCCCACATCAGAGCATCGTTCAAAGAAATAGCTGATTTCCCATCTTCCAGAAAATACACAGGGCCCTGTGCACAAAGTTGAGAAAAGAGAAGATGAGACTACATTTACCACACAGAGAAACCACTGGTGTAATTAGGCAATGCTAATAGGCAACTTAGTAAAATAAAAAAAGAGTTTTTGTTTGTTTGTTTGTTTGTTTTTTAAGGTTACCAACTTAGGAACATCTTCAAGTACTTCATGTTCCACAATTCTGTGATGGCTATTACAACAGAGATTTATGCTATAATTTTAATTTTGTATATGCAGCAGTACTATCAATGACAATAAGTGCTGTTAGTTGATTTATTGTCCCAAAGTTAGCTTATTTTATGAACGCCCACTGTCAAGTAACAGACTCAGATATACTTTGTTGTGTTAGTTATGAAGCTAATGTCAGCGTGCCTGGGAAGTGACTAAAGCCAGCAGCTTGTGTCCCTTTCTACAAAACAGGAGGAATAAATTTCTCTGTGTGTGTGTGATTTAAAATTATACTCTGTTACGTGACTTGAAAGACTATAGTTTAGTCCCATCAGTTATTAGTTCATCTTGAGTAATTTGGAAAAGTCTTTCAACCTGTCTTACTCTGCTCTGAGGAAAAGCATAATGTTAAAAAAAGAAAAAATCAAAAGACAGTATAATTTTAATTCTTTGATTAGGCTATAATTTTATCAAATTCTGGTTATAATTTTAATGATATGTTCTATTGTTTGCAATTTACCTTTAGAGCTGGAAAAATTAATCATTAGTTACCTTCACATTAGTAAGTACTTCAAATTTATAAAAGACAAATATATCAATTTCAAGTTAATGATACTCTATAAGAAGCTGGGCATTGGTGGCACACACCTTTAATCCTAGCACTCCAGAGGCAGAAGCAGGCAGATCTCTGTGATTTCAAGGCCAGCCTGGTCTATAGAGTTAGTTCCAAGACAGGCTCCAAAGCAATACAGAGAAACCCTGTCTTGAAAAACAAACAAATACTCTGGAAGGATAGTACATATTCTACATTAGTTATATGTGCATTGAAGTAATTAGTAGATCTTTTGTGGGTGTGGGCCTGTATAAAGA